AGAATTCAGCCTAAATAATAACAACAACAAAAGCAACAGCCATAATAATAACAACATCTGCCTATCCCAGGTCCTTGGGAAGGACTCGATAAGTGGATAAAAATGCCAAATCCAGACTAAACATCTGGTGGACTGTGTGACCAATCATCATCATCATCATCATCATCATCATCATCATCATCATCATCATCATCATCTCTGTTATTGCTGGTATACTTTATGTTATGGTATACCAAACAATTGTTTATGATCCTTGCAGAAAGTGTTCCGTCTAAAATATTGCTTACACTTATTTCTCTATTGTCTCATATAAAACCTTTTTCCTAGAGTTATAAGCCATTTCAAGTATTATCTGTTTGCTTCATTTCTGCATGGTGTGGTAACATTAGAACCTAATGGAAGTGGACAGAAGTCTAAAGATATAATAATTGAAACACTCTGACCAGTTTAGCCCATTTGGCTGTATTTAGTCAAAGCAGGGTGATTTAATGTATCAAATTAGAAATGGATATTTGTTTTTTCAAACATGCTTGGAAAGTGTCTGTCCATCCTTTAGAGTGCTTTTGAACACCCTTGGATTTTGGCTTTTAGTCATTGTAGACTAGGAATTATTCAAACATCTCTGTAAGCAGTAACTATTTGTGATCCTGTAATTTGGTATGGTTACTGATAGAGAATTCCAATTAAAAAGAATTAGCAATTTTCATTATTTTTAATACCTTTTAAAACATTTGAACTGCTCAACTAAGTCAAATGGCAGAACTGGCACAACTACAGACCATGTACAGTAAGTGTATTTTGTTTATACTGAATAATTCCAAGAACCTACACTATTTGAGCTTCTATTAATAAAATGGTTATTAATTTGAATGAAACATCTGTTCTATTTGACTACAGAAATTGCATCTATGCAATTTTTGTCTCCATATTAATATATTTAGAACATTATATAAGGATTAAGTTACTGCAGGTTATTTTTTATATATTTAAGAATATCAGGATCAATATTATATGCACTGATTTCCACATAATTTCTGAATTTTTGTATCCCATAAATTTGACTAGTGAATTAGAGCCAAATAGTTCTAACATTACTAAGAAATAAATAAATAAATAAATAAATAATAGAGTTGGTAGCAATATTGGCACTTGTATTTATATGAAAGAGTCTTCATGGAGAGAATTTCCTTATGATCAGATCACTTCCTGGTCCAGTTGTGATTGACTGACACCTCTTTCCTCTGCAGAGTCAGACCTATTTGGATGGTCTGCCCCAGATACGTGATAGAACTGCCTGGTTTCCAGGAGCACTTGGGGATTTCCCTGACAAACTAGCGAGCAAAGGCCTGGTCTGGACTGGCAAGAGGTAGCATCTTGGCTTTTGACAAAATCTCCCCTGAGCGGCTGATCCCTTGGTTTTCCAAGGACCTCTGGGAGATGAAGTAGCTAAAGCAATGACAAGATGGAGAACAACTGTAGCTGAATTTGAGTGAGCGTGGATGGGTGCCAAAGTTTGGGCCTGCTTCATGGCGATAAGAGGGGTGAAGTGTTCTTAAATTTCATCTCATTACAGTAGCAGGTGGTCATCTGGCAGCCCTGTCAGGCAGCCAACTCCCTTTTAGGTAGGGGCTACCCTGTTGGCTTACCACCTTGCTGCTGTGACCAGTTTGCTTGACACGTTACTGATAAAGTCACTCAAATTCACTCTAATTGAGACTCCACTTGGGCAAGGTCTTGTGTGGTGATTGGGTACTATCTTGCCAGGTTGTTTGGGTTTCCTTTTGGCCTGTTATCTCTGAGGAGGTGGATAGGACGCCTCCAGGATATCCCTGACTACTCTTCCCTCTCCTGGCTTCTTAGGGCAGCTGTGGGGGGCAGTAGTTCCCTGGGTCTAAGAGACTTTGAATACCTCATTATGGGAGGGGTCAGTGCCAATGTCCCTTAAAAAGGTGTTTGTTCACCTCCTCCTTAAGAGGCCCTCCTTGGATCCAGAGATATTAGACAACTACTGCCCAGTCTCCAACCTTCCCTTTTTGGTGAAGGTTGTCGAGACAGTGGTTTGGGATCAATTACAGAATACCCTAGAAGAAACAGATTATCTGGACTCTTATCAGTCAGGGTTCAGACCCGTGTATGAATAGAGACAGCACATCTTTCTTCATAACAGAGATCCCTATGGAAACCATATTTGTAAGCGCTCATATTATTAGCCCTACTAATATGTGGCTGGAAAGATCACATCTAAAGCTGATTTTGATTGGCGATATAGCAAGTAGAACAGAATGGAAATAGTTCTATCCAGATCTACAGTTAATAAGGTGACTCTCCAAAAGTCCATTTGTATTGGAAGATGCATAAGTAGTGAAATAAATTTTGTGTAAAAACTGGTACTCATTGTTTCTTTACAGTTCCATGGAATGGTTTTTAAATGATTCCTGAGGATGCATACTAATACACTTGTTACTGTTTGGGAACATTCCACAAAAATTTGGTCCAGACTAAATTATGGAGACTGGGTTAGCTTTGCAGGAATGACTTGATCCTGAGAGTAGTTAATCAGATAACATCAACTTCAGTGCTATGGTTGAAGAAAATGGTAATTCAAAATTTGCAGGCTTGTTAGGACACTGCAATAGATTTGTTTGTGCTGTTTGATCTATGGCACATATTATGTTATTCCATGTATGAACTTTCTAGTGCAGTCTAGGATTTTAAACTATAACTTCAAGTAATATATGATAAAATATCTTGTAAACTCCACCTACTAATTAACACTTAATTCCACTTACTAATTTTTTCTACTAAAACAGTCTTGGATTTTTCACACATGTAAGCTTGAACCCCTGGAGGAAGAATGTGTTAATTTGTTATAAAACATGCAATACACACACACACACACACACACACTCACCAGCATCCAGGGGGGTGGGGGCAGCAAAAAAGTCAAGATGACAGTTGCAGCATATATAGAAATGACTGTAATGGAAGGTATCTGTGAGGAAGAGACTGGTATGGGAGATCAAGGCTGGGTGTAAGCAAATAAAGGAACTGTATTAGACTGAACTGTTTCATCATCGTTCTTGGGCTAAGCCCGACATCAATCTTGCCAGACTAACTACGCTACAGCAACTAGTGGATATACCCCATGATACTCTAGGGAGGGGCTAGTCTAAACCTCTTCTTCTCACAGTCCTGCTGTGGGCTGAGAAAGCACTTGCCTTGTCCCCCTTTCTGGAATGCACTACCTCCCTCCTGACAGCCTTGATCTCCCATACCAGTCTCCTCCTCACAGATACCTTCCATTACAATGACACAGCTTCATTTGAACTGCCATGACTATTGTCTGCTTTTTTGACCCAATCTGGAATGGTGCTGTACAGCCCTCAAAAAATGGGACTGCACTTCAAATATATCTTAAGCTTGGTACTTTAATTTTAGACATATCCCTACAACAATAGCACCAAGGAAACATTAAAATCACCCAATAAAAATTAATAATTAAAATACACTTTCACCATAGATTAGGAGATATTCTATGAACAAGGGGTCACAATTCAGAGAGCCTTTCTTCTAGTTAGTGCTTTCCCCATCTCAGGTGGTTGGTGCAGCTGGAGAAGAGAGATTGTCTGACTGTGCAGACCCACTTATGTTGAAGAAAAGTGATTCTTCAAATACTAATAAATGAAACGTTCATTGTTGGTAGCAGTTTGCAGAATTCATTTTATAGGAGACAGTGTACGTAGTTGCATAGTTTTTCTTTCTAGTAATGAATTAATTATTGATGTGCTAGATTTACAGTGTGACTTTCTTCAAGAAACTTAAGGTACTTGGCTTGTGTTCCAAGATTTTTAATCCTTGCAGCAATTATAACTCGCCTATTGAGAATAGCTAGTAAATTAAATGGCTTAACTGAGTAGGGATTTTAATTTTAGTCAACCTGTATGCTGAATATATATTGAGTGAGCCTGATTGGAAGAAGCTGAGCATGGTTTTAAAATTCAAGGAAGAAACATCAAGAACCTGCACTGTACTGATGACACTACTCTGAGAGCTGAAAATAAAAATGATTGGAAAGCTTTAGAAATTAAAGTCAAGGAGCACAGTGAACAAACAGGAGTAAGATTAAACATAAAGAAGAGCAAACTAATAACAACAGGTGCAGCAGCCAGCCTTAGAATTGGCAATTGAAAATATTTGCTGTGAGGAGAGGCGGAGCTGGCGTCGCAGCGGTACGGTGTGCGATCTGGAGCTCCCAAGATCGCAGCTGATATCTCCGATGCTGGACGGGCCCGAAGGACCTACGCCGTCGCGTAGAGATGGGGAGTGGATAGGGCACGTCCTGTCGATCCCAGGGATATCGCAAAATCTCTGGTTGATCCAGGAGAAGTTCCTGAAACCAGCGACGGAGCGACAGCCATTGAGACTGCAAAAGCCGGGACAGCTCCAAACGGAAGAAGAAAGTGTGTCAACCGGGTGAGATGGACCTTTATTATTTAACTTTGCTTAGAGAACACCCTAAGTAATCCAAAGTGAATTTTTAAAAGTGAAGAAAAGTGGGACTAAGCGGCGAGATTGAGCCTTTGGAAAAAAAAAAAAAAAATTTAGTTATTTAACTTTCCCTTTTTATGGACTTGAATCTGGCAGAGTGTGGTTTATTTCATTTTTAAACTCGACTGGCTTTTTTGTTTGATACTTAATCATTTCTGATTTTAAGCGTTAGGACTAAGATTTTTCTTTTAGTGTTTTAATCAATTGATAAATGAAGGACAGATCTGCTTTGGTAATGAGGAT